GCAGTAGGGAGGTCTCCCATGCACACAGGAGGAGAGACGCCAAACAGGTGGCCAGAATCAGCAGTCGTGCCAGGAAGGGAGCAGACGAGCTGGCGGGCAGGCAGGCATGCAAGGAGCACTCTGGTCACAGCGGTGGCCCCTCCTCCTCCTTGGCTTGCTGAATTTCCTGCCTTTTTTCACTGCCTTTTTCCGTTCGTAAGTCAATGCTCCAGCTGCAAGTCAAAGCTAAATTTTGCAGCCGGAGTTGTTTGTAAGTCAAATTGTTTGTAGGTCAGGGCATTCGTAAGTCAAGACACCACTATACAGTGGTGCCCTGCATAGTGACGATAATCCGTTCTGGATAAATCGTCGCTATCCGGATTCGTCGCTATACGGGGCAAAAAACCCCATAGGAATGCATTAAACCCTGTTTAATGCGTTCCTATGGGGGGGGAACTCACCGTTATGTGAAGATCCTCCATGGGGCGGCCATTTTCACAGCCTTGGCAGTTGGCCATTTTGGAACCGCCGATCAGCTGTGCGAAAATGGGGCATTTGGGAGGACCCCCGTGGTCCTTCTGAAGCCCTAGTGGCATTTTCCCCCAGCTGAGCGGCGGTGGCTTTGGAAGCTCGCTGGGGGGGCCGGGCGAGAGTGAGGGGGAGGGAACGTGGCCAGCCAGCGAGGGCTCGGAGGCAGGCAGCCGGGAAGGGGCGTGCCTCTGATGGCCACCCAGCTCCGGATGCCCGGTCTCCTTGGCGGGGCTCTTCCGGGGTGCAGATGGGGTGAGGAGGGGGTCTCTGGCACACACCCCCCGGCCAGCTGCTGCCTCCCTGATCCCGGTCCCGGGTGGGCGCCTCCTCCTTTGCAGTGCTCTGGTTCGGGGCCAGGCCCTTCCCTCCCTTCTTCCCTCCCTCCCCCCGAGGCGCCAATCCGGAGCGCCCCCACTCCCCCCAAAGGCCCACCCGTCAGCTGTCCCAAAAGGCGAGCCTTTGGGCTGCTCCCGGAGAAGCGGGCCTTTGGGGGGGGGCAGGGGGGCTCCGGATTGGTGCCTCAGGCGGAGGGAGGGA